GCTGGTGCTGCTCCTCCTCTTTGTGGTTTTTGGTTTTGTTTTTTTGAGGCAGGGTTTCTCTGTGTAAGAGTTCTGATTATCCTGGAACTCGCTTTGTAGATCAGGAACAAAGAACGAACTCACAGAGATCCACCCTCCTCTGCCTCCTGAGTGCTGAGATCAATGGTGTGCACCATCACCACCCTGTAGTTTTGAAAAACAGGCTCCCGATATATAGCTCAGACTGGCCTGGAAGTCATGATCCTTCTTCTGCCTCTTGTGCTGGGATTATAGGCATGTACCACAATGCCTGGCAATAACATGCGGGAGCTTTGACAGAACCCTTGGCTCATTGACATACCTAATTCTTCATTCATTTTTACCTCAACGGTGGCTTCAGAGGCAATAGTAAAGGATATTGTGTATGAAGTGACCTTTCATCTGATACAATGGTCACTGTCAGATAGAACATCAGGGGCTCCATGTGAGTTCTCAGTACACAGAGTGGGTGATTGCCTGCCTGTCCAGATTCCAGCCAGGTCCCATTCTTGGCCCAGAGCTGCCCAGAGCTGAGAAGTGACAGCAGGGTGGTGGGAGACTGCCTTTGTACCACAGATGTATCATACTCGCATTCACGTATCTTTTCCTTTCCTTTCCAGTGTCTGGTGATGACGACCAAAACGGTACGTGATTGTTTAAGGATGGGCTAAGGCTCTTAGCAGTTTTGTTTTCCTGTTTGCAATCCTGCTGGTTGCTCCCAGTCTAAGAATTGTAGGCATATGTGTTTACAGAAAGCACAGAATCAGGTATTCTCCTTGCCCCACCGCTATAAAGGATGACCACAGCAGCTTAGGGACTTAGCTAATTTGGAGCAGATGCCCTGTGTGAGGAGTACCATGGTCAGTTTGTCTGGGAAGAGTCTACACGTTCAGAGAGGTTATTTGAGTGTTTTTTTGTTTGTTTGTTTGTTTGTTTTTTTGTTTTTTAAAATGGTGTCTATCTGTGTGGCTCTGGCTGCCCTAGAATTCAACTTTGAAGACCAAACCGGTCTCAAACTCAGAGATCCACCTGCCTCTGCTTTCCAAGTGCTGAAATTAAAGGCTTATACAGTATTGCACTTAGCCCACTTTAGCGTCCGCCAGTCTGCTTTCCAAGTGCTGAAATTAAAGGCTTATACAGTATTGCACTTAGCCCACTTTAGCGTCCGCCAGCAAAACCAAAAAGAGGGGTGGTGAGCCAAGCAAGCCCTATTTGAATGGTAGTCAGAGCTGCTCAGGAGAAGCAGAGGTGTTCTGTGAATGCCTTGTGAGCTCCAAATGCATATCCCCACCTGATTACCTTAACACTAACCTGTGTGTTGGGGCATTCTCGGAGCACACTGTAGAATCCTGGTAGTCTGGGACGCCGCATGTGTTGTATACTTATGAAAGCTTTGAGAAATGTGGGTGCAAACTTCCCACAACTATTCTCAGTAGTGTTTCAGCCTACAGAGCACTTTAAAACATTTTTTCAGAAGACATCCTGAATTTTCCTAAGTAAAATGGTCTTCCGTGCAGAATGGGCAGAGTTGAGCTTTTTCCTTAGTCCCTGTCACCATCTGGGTTACCCCTCCTCCCATCTCCACCTCAGATAATACCAAGATCAGATTAATCTACTTGGCACCATCCTTTTTTCTTCTCATTTCCTGGAGAACGCTGTCCACTGAGCTGATGCATTTGTCTCTCCTCAGTGACGTATGAGTGACTGAAATTCTGTAAATGACTCAAGCTTGTTTTAGGTATGCGGGTCCCTTTCTAACCTCTGTAGTAGGGCTACAAGGGGCCTTAACTAGGGTGAACGCTCAGCCAGCCACCTCCTGGGGGAAGTGATCTCTGACTGGATGCGTATTTAATACATAGCTATATTTGAATAGCTACATGAAAATACTCCAGAATCACCCAACTAGCAATAAACAAAGATTTGTATATTCAATGACCTGACTTTTTCGATTAGTCCAGAGTAGAAAAGTCTAGAAGCAACAGATAAAGGAGAATTCCACCTGAGAAGTCCAGGTGGGAGAGGTGGCTGATATGTCTTATGGCTGCTTAGTTTAGGCTAGTTTGACACACTGGAGATCGGTGAGCTGCTGATACAGTTTTTCTCAACTGAACTAGACTAGTAGCTGTATCCACCACTAACTAGTAGCCAGTTAGTATTTATTGAGAACTGAGTACTGGACAGTTAATGTCTTAATAGTCTCTGCCCTTGTCCAGGAAGCCATTGTCCATGAGCCCTGTGTCCTTGGGCAAGCCACTCTGGCCCAAGTTGTCTCATCTATAAAACCTGCTTTAACACCACTGGATTAATACAGAAAGCTCTTAGGACCCTGCCTGACACATGGTAGGCTGTTAATCACTGTGAGCAGTTATCGTTCCCTGGGCAGAACGTTCATTGCCAGATGTTTAAAGAATACATACCATATGATTCATGTTTTGGGAATTCAAAGATAAGTATCTGACCTCAGAGCACAAAGCAAATGCTAAGCTTATGATTGAATAAGTTGAATTAAGAAGCTCTTAGTCTACTGTGGGAGATAAGTGAATTATTATGAAGTATGATAAGCAGTTGGGTAGGAATAAAATTCAATGATTATAGCACAGAAAAGGAACAGCATGTCTGCCCATGCCTTTCTATCAGGAGGTCTTTTCACATGGGCTCCCACATGATTCTCAGCTTTATTAAATTGGGGCTATGTTTATAGATAAGACTTGTGATTCCTAATGAGTCAGTCATTCATTACAGTTCTGTTTATATCCCAACTTTTCTGAACCAATTTTATCTTTTCTGTACATTCTGCCTCAGGGGATGTGGTATTAAGCCCAGCTGACTCATTGTAATGTTCTTTGTCCTAAATTTAAGTTTGAACTATTCCTTAGTTCTGAGTCCTGGATGTTTTTGATCTGAGACCCCTCAAACCCCTCTTTTCTTAGCAGGAGTGGAGGCTCAACAAGCAGCTGGAGGTGGTTTGGTTACTGTGGAGTTTTTGTTTTGTTTTTTTAAGGCACTCTATTTGAGGGAAGTGTGGATTTGAGGATTCGCTCTAAACAGCCCCTCATACACTGAGACATAATCTTTTCTTCCTGCCTTGTTTGTCCAGGGGGAGCAGTGCCTTCTGGCCTGGAGGAGAACCTGTGTAAGATTTGCATGGACTCACCCATTGACTGCGTTCTGTTGGAGTGTGGCCACATGGTGACCTGTACCAAGTGTGGCAAACGCATGAACGAATGTCCTATCTGCCGGCAGTACGTCATCCGAGCAGTGCATGTCTTCCGGTCCTGAGGGCTAGCATTGGTTTCTTCAGTGCCTTATGGGACATAGCCCACAGTGTCTGGGCTCAGGGTTGGTCCGATGCACAAAGGCAGTTTATTGAGAAACTGGCAGTGTTCTTAAGACCAAGACAAGCAGAGGTGCCTGGCATACCTGTCTTGCCATGGAGTGTACCTCTCAGGTGGCAGAGCCCAAAGCCAGTAGGAACTGATTCAGATCACATGGGTGAATGCCTGCTTCTCTGATCATTGTGTGGTGATGGTAATCAATGAAGAGGACTTTCCAGAACTTGGACCATGTCTTCCTACCTTCCCGAGAACCTAAGACACATTTCACACATCCCATACACCACTCCTCCTGTTTCATCAATCACAAGTACTGCTGGAAATGGTTCCTTTCCCCACCCAGCACATCTGGATTTAAATTTCTGATTTCTGTGTTTTAAGTCCACTACATTGCCTAAAATCCATTTGTTTCTATGGACCAAAAAAATACATTAACCAGACCAATAGTATTTCCTAGGTCAGAATTTGGATCAGTAGACTGATTTCTGGTGAGAAATTAAGTCTAAATACTATAGAAATTTCTAAGTTGAGTCACTTCCATTAGTGTTGGGGTTGGAAATGATCAGCCCCCTGACCTGACCCCAAACTGCTGGGAAATCCCTAAGAGCTGGTGTGTGGGTCATCTCTGCTGCTTCTCTTTGGGTTTGACTGCACCATCTTTAACCTTGGCTTGTGAGGAAAGAGAAATAGAGGCCATGGCTGTTTGCTTTGGCTTCTAATCCTCACTTCAGCCGGCTGAAACCACTCTGATAGTTTCCTCTTCTTTGGTTTTACATTTGCTTATGAAGGCCTAGGAACTTAACGCCAAGCAAGAACCCTGCTCTTCTTTCACCTCGCTGCTCATGAAGTTCCTGGGGAGCAGACACACAGGACAGTGTATGAGGCACTGGAAGGTGCTGAATTAGGCTGGACTATGCCCATGGTTGCTTCTCAGCCTTTTGGGCAGGTCAGCACAAAGCATTCTCTAAATCATGATTTGAGCCTCAAGGGGTCTTTACATCACTGACATAGCTTGAAAGGTTTGAGTGGTGTTTGCTGGAATAGCTCAACGGGCACAGAAGGAGCTGTGTGTTCCTATGTAGGATGTACCCGCTACACCCTCCTGGATAAAACCGCTACCCTCCACTATGCAGCTAAGTGAGACTGGAAGAACCAGTCATGACCCTGGAAAGCAGAGGGGCACCTCTAAGGGGGCTATTAGAAATACTTATGCTTTCTTTCCATCATTAACCTCTAAATTCTTTCAGGGGATCAAACAGTTCCATGAAGTAGTTGTTGGAGGCAGCCACTTCACCTCTGCATTATAAGTCCAGATGGCCAGATTTCAGGTCAAAGCCTTTGTAGGTGTCAGGAATCAAGAGACTCCTCCACAGATATTCCCTTTCCCTCCCTCGTAAGTACTGTAGTTTACAATGTCTTCAGTTTAGCACAGCCCACTGATTTTGCTGCTCCTGAACGCACTGTGAGACAGGTCTGATTATGCAGCTCAGTAAGACCTAACAATCTTCAGAGCTGGCTCCCCTTCTTACAACTGCTCTCCCTTCTGAGGCCTTACCTCCCTACCTCCTAGACAGCAACAGAAATAATATACTGATGGCCTGTTAGCAACCTGAGTAACAGAGCTGAGATTACTTGTTTTGAAGAAAGAACTTATTTTTAAATCTTTTATCTTTTGGGAAAAAATCCAGATGTCAAACAACTTTTTTATTGTTACACCAAATGAAAGTTGGAATTCTAAGATTCCATTCCAGTTAATATTCACCCCAGGTAAAAACCTGATTTTTTTTTAAGTACTTGAGCCCCTTTCTGTTCATCACGGATCCTTGGTCTTAATTAACATGGAAACACCTAATCCTTCCAACTATTCTGTGGAGTTCGCTGTGATTGCACCAAGATTTCAATTGAGACTTAGTTTTAAAAGACAGACAGCTGACTGGTTTGTAGGTTGGAATAGCCAGTTCTAAACTAATAAGCTGTAAAGGAATTAATAGTCTATATTGTACAAATTTGTTTTAAAAAAATCTCTTGGATGTGAATGTGTTGCTCCAAGTCGCTTATATTAAGATTTTCTCGCCTGGATGTTAAAAAGTAAACCCAAATGTGTATTTTTTGTTACAGAGCTCTGCTTTATAATTTTGTAATAAATTTTAAATACAGATACCTGTCCTATCTGGTGTGGGGATGATGCCTGAGGCCCCAAAGTACTAGTGAATATAGGCAAGTATCTGGCCAGATTCATAGAGCTGTTGCTCCTCAGAGACTCCATTCTACTTACGGAAATGTTTGGGCCACCTGATCTTGGTCAAGGTACCCTGCTTGGTGTTGTGACTTGCCTATGATCGCAAGGGTGTGGGAGAAATTATGGGACAGACTAGAAGTGGAGCTAGCGTAAGGATGATTCTCAAGAGCAAATGGAAGCACCATGTGAATTATTTACAGTCCCATCGGGAAAGGGTCTTCAAGAGCTAAGTGGGATGGGATCTCAGGACAACTAGGTAGCCAGTTAAGTGAATACAGTTGTGACAGACAAGTATGGCTCAAAGGATGGCCCAGCCTAAAGAGCAGACTGCAAAATACACATAGGCCTATACTAGCCTACCTGACCAGGTGCCTGAGGGGAAGGGAGAGGAGTGTGTCACCCACTGCAGAACTGGACGAGACAGGATTCTACCCTGTCTCTTAAAGAGAGAAGTCTTGCTAATGGCTGACCTGTTCAGCATCCAGTGATGGCCACTCTGTCATTAGCCGGCACTATGTAAACCAAGGCCAAAAGAGCAGGGGAGGTTTAGGGTGATAGCGCTTAGGGTTGGGTGGAGACAAGAAAAGATACAAAGGTGTGCATACAGTCTAATCTCCCTGCAGAGAGAAGTATGTCAGACTGGAAGAAACATACAAACACCAGTGAACTGGAGTGAATACATAGTAAGGCATTCAAGGGACAAGGAGCTGAAATTTCAGCCCTGTGTGGTGGGGAAGAGTTATCTTTAATGCTCTCTACCTAGCTGCTTGGTCCAAGGAAGTTGGAGATTCTATGCAGGTAAGTACTCAAAGCAAAAAGCAGCTTTTGATTTGAGGGCGGATTAAAAAGTATCTGACTTGGCAGACTGAGTTGTACCCACTCTGCCCTAGTTGTCAGAGCATCTACATTGTGTCTTCCCTCTGGACATTTTTTTTCTTTTTTTTTTGGTTTTTTTGAGACAGGGTTTCTCTGTGGTTTTGGAGCCTGTCCTGGAACTAGCTCTTGTAGACCAGGCTGGTCTCGAACTCAGAGATCAGCCTGCCTCTGCCTCCCAAGTGCTGGGATTAAAGGCGTGCGCCACCACCGCCCGGCCCTTCTGGACATTTTAAACAGTAGGTGAAAGGCAAAGCCAGACCAGTAAGCAACCTCCTAGTAGGGTATTAGGAATACTTGGGGTAGTATGTCTGTATCTTAGAGGCTTGGTCATAGTGTCCTAGCTGACAGGAGATAGCAGATGAGCCTGCTGAGTTGGTAATAAGAGAGAACTGATCTCCCAGAGGTGGCACAGCATAGACTTGGAAGCCAGTCTACTACAGTATCTGGGGAAGCCCAGAGCCAAGTGTGAACTTTGTCATGCAAGGTGGTAAGCCAGGTCTCCTCCTGCATAACATCTGTACCAGGTTCTGTGCCTCATGTGTTACATAAGGCACCTGAGGTTACAGTCATCTAGTGATTTAGGAGCAATGCCTCTGCCCCTTCCTCTTGGGGAACTGATGCTCAGAAGGTGTGTGATGGTCACTGGTGACTTGAGATCATTTGAATTGTCTTTTTAGAGGGTGGTAGTGCCACATTTCAAGAGCTTGACAACCAGATGAGGCTAACTTAGGACATTTCCACTGTTGCAAACAAGATTCTCTGCAGCTGTACACAGAAATGATCTTTGCTTTGCAAGCAATCTGCCACAGGTGGCACAGGAGCTAGCGAGCCATGGAAAGCAGGGTGTGTAGATTTTCCTGGCTGTGGATCTGTACTCCTGAGAGTAGTCCAGACTTTGAGGAGGCAAATCCTCCACCTTTCCTATAGATGACAGCCTCTCCCTCCAAGCTGGACCACTTTGTTCTTTCACATGAGGGTTCATCCTGACAAAAGGGACCAGGCAAAATAAAGGTTTTGCCACATACAGGAAGCATGCAAGGACAGTTTAAATACAGTTTAAGATGCACATGGAAGTGAAAAAGGAGCAGACAAAGGAAGTAGATTCTGCTCAGCCTTCATTCCTTAGTCACGGAGGTGGAATTGGTGGGGGGAAAGATGCTTTTTTTGTTTAAGGCTAGCCGTGAACTCCTGATCCTCTGACTTCTTGCTCCTCATGCACTACCATGCCTGGCTTAAGATTTCTCACTTATAAAATTGTAGTTCAAGGGCACAACACTGTGCCTAGCATGCATAAGGGTCTAGGTTGGTTATCAGCACCTCAAACAACTAAGGTCGGCTTCTTTTTAAACAAGAAGACAAAGCTAGCACCCAGATCTGAAAGATCTAGTTAAACTAGCAAGAGAATTGCTTGTGCCCACAGCAACTAACTCCTGATCCAGAAAGGAGCATGAAGAGTTGGAGGGTATAAGAAGGTACACTGCTTGGCAAAGAAGCCCCTACCATCCAGGCTGAGCCTCGTGGTAGACTGGGCAGGCGAGGACAGCCCAAAGAGAAAGAATAAAGTTCTAGCAGGGGGCTATCAGCCTCCGTTTTCGGATACATGACCAAATCCACTCTGGAGAGACCAGCTGGGCCTCAGTATTGTTCTCTCTGTTACCCAGCACATGTGTGGCTGAGGCCATGTCAAATTCCTGTACCAGATCCCCGTTGAATGCCACAAAGTAGCGTTTGAGCCGCTTGAAGTCTGGTGTGGAAGGTGGCAAGTAGAGCCGCACCCCGGTGAAGACATCCAACAGCACCTGCAAACAGTCCACGCAGAGTGAGCCCTATCCTGGCGCACGTTCAACTTTACCCACCAGAATACACGACAGCCTGGGATGCAGCGTCTAGGATTTAGGACATAGATGGATGACTGAGGGAAAGGCTGTTGCTAACCCATCTTCCAGTCACTCTGGTTGACCCAGGTCTGACATTTTCTCCTGTCCCTGACTAGGAGGAGAAAAGGGAAAAGTGATGGGCTCCAACATCTGAGGCCAAGATGGGGAAAAGGAGCATCTCTCCAAGAGCCACCCAATGTAAAATACCTTCCAAGGATTAAGTAGTCTGCTCTGCAGTTACCTAGATAAGGAGTCTTGCTCATCAGTGTGGATGAGTTCAAGGGCTTCAGGGAAGAAGAGAGATTGGTTTCTAATGAGAAGTAGGTTTAGGCCCTGAGATGTCACCTTCTGTGCTTATGCTTGGGCAGGGGTGCAATCTCTGTTGATCATGTTTCTTCGTTTACTTTCTGGGTCAGAAGCCACCCAGGGCACCAGACTAGCTAGTTGCTGATCTCAGTAGGTATTCAACAGATGTTGCCAGACCAAGGACCAACTAAAGGGAAAATACACTCCTTAGTGGGTTTTCTATGCCATGGCCGTCTCCCTCTCCTTGCTGGGTAGCCCTGCTCGAGAGACACAAAGGCACTGCTGCACCCCACACCCAGACTGGACTTAGTTTTTTAATGTGAACTGTAACTTGACACTGGCGGCTCGTTGGCCCCTGCAGCTTCTGCTAGGCTGGCTCTATCTCCTGCCTCCGGCTCTCCTTCCTCTTTGCTGGCTGACCCGCTGCCTCTGCAAGGCAACAAAAGGGCACAGGGTGGAGAAGGACTGCTCGCTTGCCAAACAGGAAGGGAAGGACTTGAGTAGCCTTCCCCCAGACCAACAGGGACAGACACCTTTTCAACTTCACACACAAGAGCTTGGAACTCCAGGCCCTGAGCCAAAATGGCCTGTCCCATCACTGTTCTTTCCCTCACCTTTGTCGGGCAATGGGTCTCATCAGCAGCTTTCCTCTTCACCCCCACTTTCACTGGAGAAGACTTCGTGGTCAGCTTGTCTCCTGGTTTCATGGGGGAAGGCTTTGGAATCACCTTGTTGCCTGCAGGACAGCAGAGGTCATGGTATGGAGTTAGGTAATTGCCAAGCATGTATGAGGCACCAGGTCCAATCCCTAGCACTGCACAAACTGGGACATGCCTATAATCCCAGCACTAAGGAGGTAGAGGCAGAAGGCTCAGAAGTTCAGGGTCATTTTGGGCCACACAGTGAGTCAAAGGCCAGCGTGGTGTAAACCTGGCTATACAGAAATCACAAAACCAAAAAGAAATTTAAAAAAAAAATCACAAAACTAAAACCAAACCAAAGAAGGAAGAGGACAAAGGGAACTGCTGTTGGCCTTGGAAGTCAGGGAGCCAAGAGATGGGTCAGGCACTTCTGCTATGATCATGAAAGAAACAGGGAGCAAGGCTATCAGCTAGACCACTCAGCTCCAAGGCGGCTCATTCCCAAGTCAGACTGGCTCTCCCGAGTACTGTCACTCAGGTTTACTGAGCAGATAGGGGTGCCTGCCTGGTAAAACAGTTTCTGGCCCATGGCTAGTCACATGCCAGGAATGCACTGAATGTCTATTGTAGTGGACACCTAGTCACAGACATCTGTCTACCCTACCATCTCTTACTACCCACATCCCTCTCCATCACCTCAGGCCCTCTTACTTACCACCTCTGCTATTGGAGTTATTCAGCTTCTGTTCGGTCTTCTTGCCACTGGCAGAGGACTTACTGGGAGGTGTCTTGGGGGCCTTGTGGGGTACAGCAGACCCAGCAGTGCCCTCACTCTCACCATTGCTACCTCCAGTAGTGGAACTCCCCTCATCTCCAGCCACTACGGTGAAGTCTGCCTTTTCTTTGGACAGCTGGTACAGTTCCTAAGAAGTGGGGAGGAAGTCAGGTGCTGCCACTTCCTTCCCTGGGTCTAGGTGAGTGGTGCCTGGCACACGTAGTTAGGCAATAAAGTAGGGCCCTGTTATCTGAGCAACTGTGGTGAAAGTGACCTTCTGTGGCACCCAAGTTTTTTTGTTTTTTTTTTTTTTTGGACTGGCTCTGCCAGGCCTGGAATTTACCATATATACCAGGCTGGCCTTGAACTCAGAGAAACTTTATCTCTGCCAAAATTTTAAAGGTGTGCGATTTTACATTCTCCCTAAATCCTAGTTTAAAAAAATGTGTATGTATGTCTGTGTACTACGTAAATGGTGCCTACAGAGCCCAGAAGAGGGTACTAGATTCCTTAGAACTAGAGTTACAAGACAGTTGTAAGCTGCAGTGTGGATGCTGGGGATCCTGGGTCCTCTGGAAGAGCAGCCAGTGCTCTTAACCCATTGAACCATCTTTCCAGCCCCTAAACCACATTTCTTAGTGAAGTAGGACTGTGGCCTGGGGCAACTCCTAAAAAGGCTGTGGGAAGCTAGGGGGCCTTCAGGGGACCTGAGGAGGGTGAGCTGGGAGGAAGTTTCAACTCTTAATTGCTCTCCTTATTTTGTCCCTGTGGAACAAAGGTAACAAGCCAAAAGACAGAACAGCCAGAAACCCAAAACTCTTTTTAAGGGCAAGACAGTGGGGTGGGGGACATTTAGAAAGCCAAGGAGCTGGCACCTTGAGTTGAGGGAGGTTAGTTGCAGATTTCCAGTCCTTATCATCCCGAATTCGGGTGCAGCGAGGAAATCGGATGGAGATCCCATCAGCAGTGTGAGCCTCAGATTTGGAGAATTCTGCTCCCGTGATCTCCCACACAGCAGCTTTCTGTCAGGAATGAAACAGGAAGATTATTTATGGCCAAGAAGGAAATCTTCAGCAGCCAGAAAAATGGCAAACGGGGAAAAAAAGCACAGATGTACCCAGGAGGCATGTGAGCCAGTTCTGCCTCCCCTTGAAACCTGCCTGGGCTAGGTCCTTCTACAACAGGTCCTTGGACAAGTGGATGGGAGTTTGCTTCCCCTCTACTAAGGAGAGTCTTCAGTGATGGCTGGTTAGCTTTGTGTCTGTCATTTGGCTGAATATCCTAGTCCCTTCCTGGGTGGACGTTTAGCAAGCCTGGGCTAACTTCTGTGGCACTGGAGAATTACATACTATTGGGGTGGGGACCACAAACCATCAAGTTGATACCTTTGGGTCAGGAACAATAAAGTCAGGATAGTAGATCTTGTTGATCTTCAGCCAACTGGGTATCTTGCTGGGATCCTGAAGAAGAAAAGACACTGTTTTGGGCTTACTGTCATGTTGGAGCAAGGTTTAAGTCTTTGGCAATGAAACTGAAATGTGGCTTAGCTTAAAAAAAAAAAAAATGACCCCTCTCCAGAGAGGCTGTGGCCCACAGGAAACAGGCCACCATTCACATGGCAGGATCTCTGAGATTTGGAAGCCTACTCCTGCTCCTATGGACAAGAAGCAAGCTCCTTACTGAATTAAAACCAGACCTGCAGACCTCAGTCCTCAGAGCACATCCTGTGTCTCGGGAGTGATGACTGTTGGGGCCAGGGTTCGACCTCACCTTGCTGATCTTCACCATGTCTAGCTCCTTCTGCAGTCGAGCAAGTGTGGCATCATCATGGCCTCCGGCACATTTGGTGACAGTGCACCATTTCTGGCTGTCAGGATCATAGCAGCCCATGAGGAAGATGGACATCATGCCGCCTGGGAGGGGAACATGAATTGAGTATGGGTTAGAATGGGCAAGGACCAGAGCATTAGCATCAAGAATATTAGAGTAGCCAGACAGTGGTGGGACACACCTTGAATCCCAGCACTCGGAGGCAGAGGTAAGCAGATCTCTGAGTTCAAGGCCAGCCTTGAGTTCCAGGGCAGCCAATGTTGTTACACAGAAAAACCCTGTCTCAAAAAAACCAACATTCCCCCCTCCCACGACCCCCACACAAAAAACATGCCAAGAGTAATCACAATTACTGGGCTCTAGAGAACTGGACAGTGCCTGAGATACAGCGGACATAACCTGACACTGCCTTAAGATCTCAGATCTCATCCTTCTCCCCAATCAGGAAACAGAGTTTTCTGAGAAGGAAGCTGTCAGTGAGGTCTTCAAACAGCTGATGTTGAGCTCCCTTGTGTTGGAACAGCAGAAGGTATTCTTGATCAGCTTCTTTTTATTTTCCCCTTTTTATTAAAACATTTTTTGTTATTTATTTTTTTGTGAATGTCTACTTGTGTGTAGCCAATCATACTCCAGTATTCAAACATACTACAGTAGTGTGTGGAGGTCAAAGGACAACTTGTGGGAGTCAGTTCTCTCCTTTCACTATGTGGGTGCTAGTCATCAGTTTAGGTTGAAAGGCTTGGGGGGCATAAGCTCTTAACTGATTTCTGTGTGTCAGCCTGTAGCTCCCAGATGCCACTGCCTGATGTGATCAAGGCCCCAGATCCCAAGACCAAGCAATCCATGACCAGCAGATCGAACTAGCAAGGCGGCCAGTGTGAATCTTCTGATAGAGTACCACCATGGGGACCAGACACCACTGACCTTTGCTCCCTTGCCCATAGAAGGCCCCAAGAACCACCAGATCAGCTGTATCAGCCATGGCCCCCTCGTTCAAATAATCTTTCTTAACTTTTAGCCAGTGCCGCTTCCCAGGCTCGTATGTACCCTGAGGGGACACAAGAAAACAGATCAGAGAGTGCAAACTCCAGAAGGGTAGGGCCTGTCTTTTCACCACTGTGGCCCAGCCAGACCTCTGTCTCCAGGCACTATAGCACATGCAAAGCCATTTTCAGATCCAGGATGGGCCTGTCCCAGGTAAGTAGGAAAGACTCCCATGCAGCTTTCACTCTCTCCCACCTCCAGTGACCCTGTCATCTCCAGCAGGAAAAGACAAGGGTGTAGCCATCTTACCTTCACATCCTTCAGCACCAGCCCTTCTAAGCCCTCTCGGATCACCCGGTTTATCATGTCAGCCAGGTCTGAGGCTTTCTGAGGGACAGCAAGAGAGATGTGCAGACAATGAGAGAACAGACACCGTGTTCATTTCTATACACTTGTAGAAACGTATTTAGATGTAAGGAAATGGTCTTAAAGAGCTGCTGCGGCTTTGAGAAGTAGGCCGCTTGCCTAGGAAGATTCATGCCCCGCCCTTCAGAGTGAAGAAAATTATGTAATATATGTACTCCATATTAAGAATGCCTGAGGCTCATCTTCTCATACTCCATAGGGTCCTCTGCTCTGTTCTAAAATCCCACCTAGGATAGGAATTTCACTTACTGTGACTTGCTTCATTTCTGAGAACATGATCCGGTTACGGATTTCAACCATGTTGTCATGAAGAAACTTGCGTCGCTCACAAAGAGGCCTAAGGGAAACAGCAGAGCTGAGGGAAAAGAGCCTCCCTCCCACCCCTAGAGGAATTCTAACACAGGACATTGCCCAATGATAAAATTGATGTTTCAGGAGAGGGACAGCTATAGATCCAAGCTCCTCTATGAACGGTTCTGCTGTCAAGGGTTATAAGAACTCGTCAACACTGGAGATGGACCACTGTGAGCTGTGGCTCACAGCCGGTTCATGACAGTGCTTTCTCTTCTATTGAGCCAAGAGAACACCACCTCCATTCCAGACTATAAGTCCTAGTCCCACCTGAAACCTTGTTTTTTGTTTGTCAACATTACAACTTTTGTGCTAATGCTCCACTCTGTCTAAACCTCACCCCCAAGCTGCACAGAGAAACCCTGTCTTGCAACCACCACCCACCCCACCCCATCCAAAGAAAAAAAAATGATAGCCAGGGAGTAAAATCCAATGGTAGACCATATGCTTAATACATGTAAGGCCCTGGATTTCATCCCCAGTACTGCAAAATATGAAAACAAAACACAAAGAAACACACAAATCATCAAAACACTAGCTAACTTACCTGTCCATCAAGCTGACATCATTAAAGTAGATACAATCAAAAACAAACAGGCAGACATTAGCATCCTGGAAGGCAGCTTTCTGTAGGGGAAATGAGGCAGTAAGTACATGTGGGCACGAGATCAGGGGAATAGCAATCTACTTCTGCAACCCCCAGTGAACAGTCCTGTCTGTTGGCGCAGACCTGGGCCATAGAATAATCCATAGATGGTACTAAATTTCAGATCTCTAACGTTTCCCAAAGGCCCAAGTGTTAAAAGCTTGGACCCTGGGGTGCTAAGGTAGGGGAAGGTCTTAAGTCATTAGTGGTATGCTCTTAAAGGGATTGTGGGACTTCCCCTCTCTGTGCCTCTCAGTTCATGATGTAAGTGATTTTGCTCTGTCACATATCCTTGCCATGATATGCTGTACTAGCAGTGATCTAAAGGTATGCTTCATAGACCAGTGGCCTCCAGTATTTTGTTACAGTAATGGAAAAACATGTAGTGAACTGGAACCAACTCAATTCTACAGCAGTTCCTAATAAGCAACTCCTTTTTAATGGAAGAACAAACAATGGAACAGGCCCTGACCTACATGCCTTTATCCCCTCTTCACTACCTTTTAGATTAACAAGGCATTTTGCACACAGGACTCTCAATGTGTACCTTGTGCACTCCCAGAGTCCCAAACGGCAGTGGTTTGCCTGTGTTGTTGTCAATCAGGAGCACCTCGGAGTCCAAGATCATACTCTCACCCCCAGGAAAAGCTCTGGGGATGTAGTCCTTAAAGTGGGCCACCTGGAAGTAGAAAGGTAGCTTTGGCAAGGATGACTTGGCAGTTAAGACTTAAAACCAAGCCACAGAGATCAAAGCCCAGGCAAAATAGTAGAGACAACATGTGGAAGCCCAAGCAGTGGGTGAAATACACAGCTTGGCTGTGCCAGTCGTCCCTGAAAGAGGACCAGACCATCTGCTCTATTACCTCTGTCTTAGACCCAGAGAATGGCCAGCCTACTTGGAGTCATGTTCTATGGGTTTGGAGGAAAAAGGAAGAAATAGAGTGAGTTTGTCGGGAGGACATGGAGGTGGATGGCTATGGGAGGAGAGGAAAGAGGAACGGCAGGCAGGTAGAGACCAGTGTCCACTACAGAAGATTGCTGTTATCGGGCTAAGGACTGGGATGGGGCAACACATAGGTTGCAGGGCTGAGAGAAACAAAGCCCTGGGAACAGTGAGTAATGACAATAGGGTCTTCTCTGAAGCTCCTGCTGACTTCAGAGTATGAGCCCTGGGAATGTATTTTTCCTAACATAGGCAAAGCCCTAATTTCTGAACCGCTCAGTGGAAGAGGTCCCACTGTAACCCCAGGTATTCCTTGACAAAGGATACCAAAGGGCCCGACAATGGTCTAGTTCCTCAGCTGAGAGCAGCACACAGACAGTCCCTATCTTGGATATGGAGTGGGATGAGAAAAGACCTGACCACCCGTCCTTACTCCCCTCTATCCCCAACCCAGCCCTTCCAGAGTGGGGACATAGCTTAGTATTCAGCCCTTGCCTAGCTTGTGTAAGCCTAGGTTCAATCCATAATATTTAGAAAGGTAAGAAAACGTATTCTGGAAAGCTGTGTTCACATGTCCCAAGGTCACAGACAGTCTGTCTCACACCATCCTTCTCACAGCAGGTACTGATCAGTTTCAGTGCCCCTGGAGCAGATGAGCCTCACGTAAAGCTCCATGCAACACTACCGCTCAGTGCTCTTGCTGAATACATAAAACAAGTGGCCCAGCTACCATGTCCATACTAGACTGTACAACACATTCCCCAATCCATAGACTCTGAGAAACCAAGCCAGAACTGGGAAAGAAGGGGGTGGCAAAGCTAGGAATTCCATTTACTCACAAGCTACTGGGGCCATAAACCCAGCTGTTTCTTTTCCACAGACCTCAAAAGACTGGGCCTGGGAGCTGAGAAGGGCTGAGGAATAAGGTTCTCAATTCCCACCAATCCTGAGTAGGGCAGGAATCCGGGATCCCAGACAGCCCCATAATATTGTGCACTTAACAAACTATAAGCTCCATGAAGGTCAGTACTTTACCCATTGTTTGTGCTTTTATATGTCCACTAGCTACAATAGTGCATAGCATTTGAGAAATACTTGTTAAGCAAGCTAACGAATGATAGCCCAACAGTTCCTTGTACATGAACCTTAATCTAGCCCAGAAGGAGCACAGGAGACACAGAAACACCAATGACTTGAACAGAGCTCACTGTCTGCACCGCACCATCCAGGGAGCGCTTTCCCATCCCACCAATCCAAGTCGGAGCTCTTTGGCTGTCCCAGCTGAGCAGCCTTTTATTACTAGAAGAGTCCAGGAATTAATTCCATTCATTTACAGATAAATACAAATTCCCTTCTGTGAAGTACAGCTGGAAAGGCCCTGCAGTTCTGGCCTGGTGACTCTTACAGGCAGGGAGGAGAGAGTCCTGGCTGAAAACAATTACCTTGTGAGGCAGGACAGGCTTGAGACTGCGGCTGAAGTAGCTGAAGTGGTCCCCCTTCTTATGTACCTGGACTCGCTCACCATCGTACTTGATCTCAGAGAACATGCCATTGGGACACTTCTTCATTGCATACTCGATGGACTTGCAGGCCTCAGCCTTGGGATGGAGAAAGCAAATGCTGGATCCCTTTAACTGGGGCTCCTTAGCAGAGCCTAGGGCTGGGGTTGCCAGGACAGACTGCTGCTAAAGGGGTGATGGTATTGAAAAGGCTGGGCAATGCTATATTGTGATTAGCATTAGTTGATACCAAGATTATCTCAAATAAAAAAATAGCTCATCTACCTCGAGTTGACTTAACAGTCTGCTTTCTGGAAAAGATAAATGCTATCCATTTTAGAGTAAGTCTTCTGAAGTAAGATTTTCATCCTCAATAATTAAGGCTCTTACAAGGCACCTGGCTTACTAAACATACTTGCTATGGTGGGGTAGAAATGAAGAGGGCCAGTGACAATGAGGCTGGCAGGGTGACTATAATCTGAGACCGATAGAACAAGAGGATACTCAGACACAGACACACTCACATACTGGCACCAGCCAGACCCAAACAGTAACTACCATTTTGGTGGTTCTTGTCAAGCCACAAAACACAACATCATTTCATCTTTGGTGATGCTTCACATGGCAAACGCTGCAGGAGAGAACCGAACTCTGGGAGGTTATGCACTCACTTAAAGGTCAGGCAGCCACTAAACAGCCTCAACTGTGCATACACGGCCTCTTCCCAAGCCCGTGTGCTAAAGCACCATTCTTCAGACAAGGCTGTGGGAAGGACTCTAGGAAACACTCCCAAGGAGGCCAGAAAAGTCCCTTCTCTAGGTGAAGGAGGTGGTTCTGTCCCTGGCATGGAGACCACACTATTTTGGCACTGACTATCCTATATTTCTGGAAGCAGGAGAATTCTTCCCTATCCCAAACACAAAAGCCTAACTCAAGGGTTTAGTATTATAAGATAGTTCCAGAAAAAGAAAAAAAAAATCGCTATATACCCTTAGAAAGCACAAGGGGACTCACAGCAAGTGGCAGAGCAGCAGATACTGATTCTACTACACATAAAGACCAGAAGGGCCAGCCCCATCCTTCATAACCCCAAGTTATGAACTGGAGTGAGGCTCTGTTCCTTGAGCTGCTGCTTCTCCCTGTCACACGAGGCCTGGCTCTGTTGCCAGCTCTGAGCTCTCCTGCAGGAGGTCACAGTCTTGGAGGCTATGCTGTCTCAAGGGTGATGCTAAAACTACTTGGTCTCAGACGCCACTCCCACAAGGAAAGTAAAGCGCTAAGGAGGCCCGGTGACCCATCCCAGATGCAAGGGCTTGCTGGTGGCAGTGCTGGAGGCTACGCTAAGGTTATACTAGACCACACTGCTTTCCTCTGAGCCTTACTTCCTAGCCTAGCACTGCTCTGCTCATCTCCACTCTTCTCTAGGCAACCTACAGAGAAGAACCCTTGCCTTTCACCCTTTCAGATGCCAGCAACTTAAAGAGACACGGGTGATAGGGACAAGGCAGTGCTCCTCACCAGCATGGGCTGCACAGGAGTCATCAATGAGGCCTGGACGCTCAGAGCCCGTCGCCGACCTGGGTCCTTCTCCACCTCCTGCTCATTGTGAAGGACTCGCTCCACCACATCCTGCAGGTTGCGTGAGGCTTTGAAGGCTTCATAAGCATTGGGGTCAAGAGCATCTAACCTGCCAAGGCAGACAGGAGCAAGGAGACAAACCTCTACATCTGACACTATGGCTTAGGGTAGCAGTCTGTCAGACAGGAGAGATGCAGGGCAAGTAGCCTTAAAGTTCCCTCCTTTTAACTTGAAGTTGTGTCCAACCTACAGCAGTAGCCGCATGGAGTCAAAGGTAGTTACAAACGTGCCCCACCACAAAGTGGTCAAATTTATTTAAAAAAACTTATGATTTATTTTCTAATTTTTTCTGAAACCTGAATAAACAGTTCTTGAGCATGAATTTTGTAGATGTTACAAAGTCAAAAGGTTGGAAATCAAAGGTGGCACAGGAAAAGATAAAACAGAACACCCAGAGTTTTGAGACCCTGTGCCTTACTTGGTGCAGCCTTGGCAGAGGATGGGGCTGGAATGGGCAAGAAGCCTGTTCCAGACTTTCACTTGTAGCGGCTTTGTGTTAAAGATAGCTGCTCAACTTTACATGTGAGAAAATGGGTGTGGAAGGGAGTAGGGTCCCAGAGGAAATTAACAGTTAGGGTTCAAATCTGTAGCAGGTCTCCCAAGTCCTGAGAGCAGCAGGGAACGAAGAACTTGGCAATGCAGGCTGTCAGAGAAGCTATGGTACTTACACGTGTTTTGCACCTGAGTTCATCTTCAGATCATGTTTGATCAACCGGATGATGCACTTAAGGTCATTGGCTGTACACCTAAAGAGATGAGGCATATTCAGCTTTATGTCTGAAAAGCTCTCATCTCCAAGCCTTCCCTCCCAGAGCAGTCCACCTCCCTAGCCCAGCGTCATTGGGTCTGGTTTGAGGCAGCTCCCCAACCTGGAGGCAATGTCCTGCAGGGCTTGCTGCTGCTCATCCTCTTTGGTGAGCTTGGAGAGGTGCAAGAGGAAGGCATCCACTTCTTGGATGGTGAGGAGGCTCTTGGCGGCTGGGGGGAAAGACTTGCTCTGCTCAAAGAAGACTCTGATCGTCTCAGACACGTCACCCTGTCTCCAAAAACCAAAATGCCACTGCTGCAACCCCAGGGAGCTCAGGACTAATGATAATCAAGAGTTCTACCCAGAGTCATTCTCAGGAACTCTCCTAGCCAGTTCCTAGAAGGGCCCATCTATCCACACAAGGCTACCCACTCACTTTAGCTGAGTAGAGACAGCACTAATCCAAGATGGAGCCAATCTGATTCCTGTTAAGAATTTCAACTTAGAGGCACAGTCCTTCCAATAGTCGACGTTTGAATAGAAACTTTCCATGGCAGCAAGGCTGGAGCCATGAACAAGCCAAAGACAAATGGGAAGTACATAGAAAGAGGGAAAGCAAGCAAACAAGCAAGCAAGCACCTGAGTTCAGAACAGCCCCAGGAGAGACAAAAGGAAGTCTCGAGTCCTGACTTTTCAGATAAGGCCTTTTGTGGCTTGGCAGTGGTATGCTTTCAATTATCAAGCTTATGAAAGAAACAGTCGTGTCCGCTGGCAACTTCCACAGTCTAACAGTAAGTTTCAGTTCCCTACACCAGGATGTGCTCAGTTGTTTTGGTTTTCGAGACAGGGTTTCTCTGTAGCTTTGGAGCCTGTCCTGGAACTAGCTCTTGTAGACCAGGCTGGCCTCTAACTCAGAGATCCACCTGCCTCTGCCTCCTGAGTACTGGGATTAAAGGTGTGCGTCACCTGGCTCTCAGTCATTTTTAAATCCTGGCAGAGTCCCACCTGGGCTGTGGCCTCCCTACACCCGCCTCTGACCTGTTCCAGATCCCGGGCCATCTCATCTGGGTTGCAGTTAAAAATGCGGCTAAAAAGTTTCACAATCTGCTTATCGTTCAAGTTGTAAACACTCTTAATGACTCCCGGCAGCAACAGCTTCACTGTTAGGTACACATCACCGTGGAAGCCATCTGAAAACAAAAGGAAAATTCCATGAAGAAATGGAGCTGCCAGGTGTGGACACAGCTTTAATCCCAGCATTCAGGAGGCAGAAGCCCGCAGATCTCTGGGAGTTCAAGGCCGGCATGGTCTACACAGTAAGTACCTAGACAGTCAAGGATACACAGTGAGGCCCTAAATAAATTAAAAAAAAAAAAGGCAGGGACTGCTTCCCACAGCTCCCTGTATCTATCACTAGTAGTAGAAGCTAGGCTGTGGGTTTTGTCTGCCTCACCTTTATCCCATGATCTCCCACTGGGCGAAACCCTGACTTTCACTTTGTGATGATGTAACAGATACGGAGTGACAATTTGCTAGATCTATGAAAGAAACAGGGTCAGACAATTCTACTCTACACTGGGCATGTGGTTCACCTAATCACATATGCAAGTGAACAATTTCTCTACTGGTCAAATGGGTTCTTCTGACTCCTTAGGACAAAATATGGGCAGAGAAAGAAAATGGCCAAGCACCTTGATCAGAGCTGCTATATAATATGCAGGGTCTGGTGACAATTACAGCTACAGGATCCCATTCCAAGATTATCAAGAATTTCAAGACACCAGTGTGTTATACCCATAGAACTGGTCATGGCTCTAAGCTTTTCAGAGGGAAAACATACTCAGGATGCTCATGGCCCTACCTCCTGTAGAGCCTTTCTGCAAAAAGTCCTGGATGATCTGGGTCTTTGTATTATAGCTAGGGTTTTCAGCCACCATGGCGCACAGCTTCCGGAACTCTCGCAGTAGACAGTCTTTGTGCTTAGGGTCACATTTACTTGCAGACAGACTTGTCTTAGGGGCAGGGTTTGAGGGGCCTTGCTCAGAGTTGTTGGCTTTGGCTGCTGGAGAGAGAAACAACATAGATGATCCATTTTTCCTTTTGGGGAAGCACAAATAAGAAAGAATAAAATAAAAATTTTGCTGGAACTTTACACATAGTTTTATTTAATCCCCACAAAGAGTCACTGGGGGTAGATGTACTACACCCTCGTCACAAGTACACATAGGGTAGGCAAGTAAAATTGGCCCAAATACAACTTCTTGAAGACTGAAAACATCTGTTTATATGAGTATCTCATATAGGAACAGAGGCTGCTTTCAGGCCACAGCCATCAGGTGGATCTCAGCAATTCTAATTCTGACTCCAGAAAGGCTGGGCTGAAAAATGGAGAAGAAACCAAAGAACATGCTAATTTGAAATATTGCCATCGTGGGCTGTCAGAGCTGTGCAAACCTGACAGATTATAGGGTTCAGTGTCTTCTTACTGATGAGACCAAGGCCTGAGAGCAGACAGCTTTCAAGACCACCTTGGTAAAGGAGCCAAGACAAGTGTGCCAGCAAGAAAGTCAGGAATCACCACTCCAGTTTGTCTTTTCTTATTGTCAAAATAAAAGGCAATTTTATTTTGAGAGAGAGAATCCTCGGTGATTTTTTTCTCACCTTTTTGTGATCACTTACGAGGCCAAGGCAGAGTTCTTATAGGAAGGAGCTGTTTACCAAAGCTTCTGGTTTGGGTTTTGTACATTGTAAATCTGACCTGGAATCTAAATCTGATGTGGGGAGGGGATTTTTCCAAAGCACAGTTCAAGAGCACCATATTCCTTTCGGCTCTTCTAAATTCCACCCATAAGACCAGGGTGTGTTATCTGCATCCCTATCCTGGCCTACTACCAACAAAAAAACAAACCCGAGTTCTCAAATAATAAAAACTGCCAGAGACAGCAGCACATGCCTGTACTTTTAGCACCTGAGAGTCTGACACAGGAGGATCTTAATTTCAGAACAGCCTGGACAGAAGATCCTCTTCTATTTCTGGGTTGTGAGCCTAGCCTTTACCATGTAAGCCATTTCTCTAGCAAAGACTCTCTCTCTCTCTTCAACAGAACAAATTAACCGTGTGTGTGCAAAACTCCTACAGATCCAGCATAATTTTTGTAACATTATATCCCATAGTCCTCATGACTGCACTAATGTCTTAATTCACAGACAAAGCCACAGAGGATCAAACAGGTGAAGACATGTTCAAAGCACCAAGCTGTCAAGCATGAACCAAACCTCAGTTCTTCTGACTTCACATCTAGGCTTCTTTGAACCTCCAAACTACTCAAGTCCAAAGGGTTTTATTTTATTATTTTCTTCAACTGAGTCAGTCATAAGAACTGTTTATCTCAAACAATGAAACAGGCTACAGGGTATAGGGTAAATAACACACTATTGGGACAAATACAACAAGGAAACAATAGTTCCATTGTGAGCCTGAACTTCATTCATAAAATGAGCATAATGAACGTAACAGAAAAGCACTTCTCAGGTTAAGGAAAGAACAAAAGCTATAGCCAATGCTTTCTCTTGCTATAGCCAATAAATGATCCTCTCAATTCCCATCTGCAGCACAGGTTCTAGCAAAGTTTCACTGATTCCAGTCCATGAACAGTAGTTTGTTATATAACAGAAACAACTTACATATGTGTGTATATAATCACAAATTACTATTTGTTTATCTTGCCAAAACATAAACAAGAGATTGGAGATCGAGTCTGAATCCAGAGCCTGTCCCAAGTCCACCTTCTTTAATTAATGAGCTCTACTGTCTCCCAACAGAACAGGACACCTGTCATTCAGATCTTCCTTCTAGTTTCTTGCTCACACATCTCTACCATAGGAATATATGGACAATTGACTATCAAGGGAAATCAAGGAAAAATGTTCTATCGTGACCTATCCTCCCACACTTCCTTTTCAGTTTAGGCAAGCTTGGGGAAACAACTTCTCAGAATTCTGTCATAAAAAAAAGAAGAACTAGCCAAGTGGTGGTGGTTCACGCCTTAAACCGCAGCACTCAGGAGGCAAAGGAAGGTGAATCTCTGTCAGTTCGGGGTCAGCCTGGTCTACAGAGGGAGTTCTAGGACAGCCAGGGCTACACAAAGAAACCGTCTTGAAAAACCAAACCAAACCAAATCAAACCAACCAAACAACAACAAAACACCAATAAAGAAAGAGCAAGTTAGAAAAATCTTTTTGACCCAGGTAATAACCTCAAGTGGACGAGGTTTGACAAATGCAATTATGAAACCAACTAATGTTCCTGCTATACCAGAGACTGAGCACACAAAGAAATGCTGTGGAGTGGAGCACTGAGAGTCAGCTGCGGCTCGACTGCTCAGACACCAGCTACTCACTCTCGGCAACACAGCATTCTCATTCAGCCAGAACCCCAGAGAAGATTCCACACAAAGGAGGGAGGGCCTTAACAGTAGCCTTAACCCAATCTTACCTGAAAATCCAGAAAATTTCCGGGGATTGGTACTGGTGACAAACGAAGCACCTTTCGCTGGGGATGTCACCTGGCCAGTGGTTGTCAGCTTAGCCTGGACAGCCGTTTTCTTCTTTGGTGTACCAGCTGCCTTAGAAGACAGGTCTAAAGGACCCACACAAAGAACAAAAATGTCCTTCAGAGAAAGACTACCAAAGAAGCTTTTGGAGATTTTATCAACAGTTCTCAAATCTCTGCTTGCTAAGTTTCTACTGTACTCTGACCCCAGGCTGGCTGGTCTTTTTGTGTGTTGGGAGAAGGTAAAAGGGTATTGGGCAGAGAGAGGAAAAAGGTAATCTGGGGATCATTTACTGTTGGGGGCTTAAACCCCATCTGCTGGAGTAAACAACCAGTTTTCCTATGCTTGCAGCTGCTCTGAGCAAACAACTTGCTTTTCAGCTGCTCCAAGACCCTCAGGAGTTCCTGATGGCAGGGAAGTGGTTTCCGGTGGGCTTGCAGCTGAGTTAGGGCGTGGCCATTAGTCAAGGAGAACCTATATAAGCTGCCCTAGACCACAGTAAAGAGAGCATTCTTGGCTGTGTGTGTTTCAATCTCCAGCCCCTTGCCTGACTCACGAACCGTACTGTAGTGCGTAGAGAAGGTAATGCGCTACAATTTACCTCTACTGGTAACTTGAAATTTCATCAAAATTCCCCACCTCTTATACAATATATAATAATTTCTTAAAGTATACACTTGAGGGAAATCAATAATTATTTATTTAAAAAAATTTTTTTTTGTATGAATGGGTGTTTTGCCTGTATGTATGTCTGGGTACCATGTGTATTCCTGGTACCCAGGGAAGCCAGAAAAGGGTATTAGATCTCTTGGGATTAGAGTTACAAATAATTATGAGCTGCCATGGGGGTGCTGAGAATCAAACTCAGGTCCTCAGGATGAAATACCTTTGCTCTTAACTGCTGAGCCGTCGTCTCTCCAGCCCCAGTAATCACATTTTGATAGATAGAACTTGGACCTCGCTCTGTGGAATAGCCCCAATATATAGAAACAACCAAGTAAAAAAGAAGAAAGCAGAGCATGCCTGTTTGGCACTGGTAGAAAAATTCCTGTTGACTGCATTTCCCTTCCCTTGAATGAGAATCAGTAACAAAGGCTGAGAATAGAGGCCTGGAGGCTGGAGAGATGGCTCAGTGGTTAAGAGCACTGGCTGCTCTTCCAGAGGTCCTAAGTTCAATTCCCAGCAACCACATATAGGAGTAAACATGTGTGTGTGGATATATGCATATATGTGATTCTATGTATATGTACACATATATCTTTCTAGTTCTGTTCCAAGGACTTAGAAGCAAATACACCCCAAGATGATGAGACATACAGCATCCAGATTTTGGTTTCCAAAACTATTTTTCACTAATGGGAATTCAGAATCCTCGGAGGAATGTCTACTGCCACAGCTAGGGGAGGACACATAGAAGAAGTCAAGAGCATCCTTTTATGCCTAATGCATAAGTACTCATAAAACGTGGCCCACAGGCCTTACACGCACCCCCGAGTACCTAGGACTACAGGCTTATGCCACCTCACCTAGCTAAAACGCAAGGAAAAAGATGTGCCAGGTGTGGTTGGCAGTTGTGTGCAACTTCAGGAGTTGAGAGGCTGGTGCAGAAACGACTGAGAATCTAAGGTCAGCTAGGGCCACACAGCAAGACTGCAGAGAGAGAGTGCAAGAGAAACTAGGGTTTACAGGATATAGAAGCCACCCTAAAGGGACTGCAGGCTGGCCAAATATGGAACAATTAAGTACCATAATGAACTTTAAGTCCCTGGGGAAAGTAGTAATCTACAAGTTTGTAAAGATAGAAAGGTGACAGCTAAAACGGTGGTAGCGGGTCTTTTATTCTTTAAAAATATCAACATCTAAAAGACCATAGAGTGACAGACTTGGTGACACAAGCCTATAATCTTAGTCCTGGGGAGACAAGGCAGGAAGACTGCTCCAAGTGTGAGGTCAGCCCAAGTTACATGTCATGGCAAGAACACATCTAAAAACAAAACCGAAAACCAAAAAGACACTCTGGAAATGTTGCAGAGTAAAGGAGGCTAAATAAACATGACAATTAGATGCAGTACCTAATCAATCTGATGCTAGACCTGAACCCTACAATGGGTACTACTAAATTATAACATTTATACTACTAAATTATAATATTCAGTCAACTGACAAAACAGTATACAGATAAGGAAGTATTGCATCAAGGTAAATTTACTGAGGCTGACAGGTAAACTGTGATCATGTAAGAGAAGATCCTATTTTTAAGATACACACTAGAGTATCTACAGGGCCTGATGATACAATGTTTTCTGAATGGCTCAATAAGAACAAGCCTGACATGTAGAGTGAGCCCATAGACAGGAATGATGGAGGAAACTGACTAGTATCAAGAGGGAAATCTGTGTACAGAGAATGTGAATGCTCTTAGTATTAATTTTATTCTTATAACTACTGTGTGAATTTGAAATTATGCCCAAGCAAGATAAACAAAGAAAGAAATCTCCTAGACTCTAGTCTCCTTGCATCCTATTCTATTAGCACCAGCACCAGCAAGCTGAGAAAGCAGGTTCTCCAACCCACCTGCAATGTGCTGGCTTATCTGTTCCTTTTCGTTATCTTCCAGCTCTTCCCAGCCTTCCAGCTCTGTGAGATCTTCGATTTTTTTTGTGGTAGCCCGCGCCCGCTCCAGTTTCTCAAACATGCACTTAATATGGTACCACTCTTTCATATCGCCCCCAGACTCGGAGAAGGGATTGGGCACCACTTTGCCAATGCGGCATACGCCTTTTACAATCTTCTCCTTGCATTTCTTGCAGCCAGCTGTGCCCCGCTTGGCATAGTCCACACAGAACCGCTGCTCCGCCATCTCACAGGAGCTAGTACAGAGTCCCACATGCGACCCTGGGAAGAAAACAAGGTGGGTGGCACGTGGTCTTAGAATACCTCTCTGGAAAGATAGGACAGGCTTTTTTCTCTGGAGGAGGCGGCACCCACGAAGGAGATCTGTTTCCGACCACTGGCTGAACTGTCTTATGGTAGACCAGTAATTCTGTTCTGGGAACAGGCACAGTTCTTTTCTGCCAAGGGCACAAAGGTTTCTCGGGAAGAGGATCTTGAAAGCCAAAGTCATATAGCTGTATGAAAGGGTGGAAAATAAACACAAAGATATGAAGACGGGCTTCCAATTTCTTAATGGCCAGAATCTCAGACAGAGCTTGTGATTACTCAAGCACTTCCCAATGTATTCACCTAGGCTGAAGCAGAGTTCCAACACAGGAAAACTCAGTTTCCAAAGGGGCATGCAACATCAACAATATGAGATACTAGTAATGAATGATGCCCTTTAAATATTACCAAGATTCTAGCTGGGCGGTGGTGGTGCATGCCTTTAATCCGAGCATTTGGGAGGCAGATAGACCTCTGTGAGAAACGTGAGAAACCCAGAGAAACCCTGCCTCAAAAAACAAACAAAAAAAGGCACTTAAATAATTATAAGAAGTACTAGGTATAATCACTGCTTCTACTTTGATTGATTTATCCATCACTATCTTTGACTCTTACCTTCCAGTTATTTCAACTTTCCCTGATTCAGGTTGCTGAATTAAGCAAGGAAATTGCTTATTCTGTTTCTAAGAATTTTACTCTTAGAACAACTACTACTTGAATTAAGTACTACTGTGGGTTACATTTTACAGATGGAATTGGAGCAGAGAAGGAAAGTAACTTGCTGAGGGTCACACAGCTAACAAATGGCTGAGCACGGCTTTGAACCCAGGCAGTCAATCTGATTATAGGCTCTGATGAGTTGCCTCTCAAAGGAGGGCCTTCTTCTGAAATCCCAAATCTGTTATAATGGCTTGTTTTCTAAAGGTATCTCGTGTTATATTTCACAGGTAAACTTCATAAACACGATGTAATTGTTCTTGGTTATTAAAACACAAACAAAACAAAACAAAACAAAACCAAAACAGACATCTATCTGCCTGTCCCTGCTTCCGAGTGCTGGGATTAAAGGCAGCGCCACCACCGCCCAACTATTAGTGGCTTTCTTTATAGTTTTAATTTCCAATATACTAGAAACTATTTTTGTCCGCACACAGGTGTGAAGTAAAATTGCTACTGTGTCAACAGAAAGCTTACCCTCTCACTGCTGTGCTACACAGAGCACAGCACAGCTGGTGAACTATGGAAGGGAAAGGACAGGAAGCGAGCTTACCCATGGGGTGTGCGGCAGATGCCAAGTGGTTCAGTTTCCTTCAACTTGCTATGTAAACAAGGCCATCCCGAAACAGCCAATCCTGCCTCCAGTTCTCTAGAGCTGGGATTATAGGTATGAGCCACCAAGCCTAATTTCTTTGTTTCTCTGTGTAACAGCCCTTGCTTTCCTGGAATTCGTTCTGTAGACCAGGCTGGCCTCGAAATCAGAGATTTGCCTGCCTCTTCCTCCTGAGTGTTGGGATTAAAGGCGTGAGCCACCATGCCATGCTTCAATTTATATTTGTTTATTTTTCGTTTTGGGGGTACTTTCTATGTCGTACTGGAAGTCACTATGTAGGGCAGGCTGGCATTCTGAGGGCAGGGATTAAAGGCGGTGTACCAACACGCCCGGCCCTAGTTTTATTTTTATAACAGTTAATTATGATGGTTCTCGCTTGTAATCTCAGCACTCAGAAGGCAAAGACATAAGGACTGTGGTGTCAGTTCGAAGCTAGACAGTCTGACTTAGTAAATTTCAGTCTAGCCAGGGCTAAATGGCAAGCCCATCCATCTCAAAAGGAAAACATCCTCCAAGATTAGAAGTACTTCATGGGGTGGTTAGGAAAATCACAACGAATTCGAGGGCGGGCTGGAGATAGAGTTCTGAATTCCTGGGGAATGTATACCAAACTTGTGTATTTAACAATGTACGACTGGGGGGGGAGGGGGAAGAAGGTCCATTAACTGGGGAGACTCATAGTGGGTCACCCAAGCCTCACGTTTAAGAATCAGAGAGGCGAGTGAAGGACGGCAGGGCCGAGGAGGAGCTAGGGGAGAGCAGGACTTCAACTTTCCGCACATGTGGGTGGCATGCAGCCCTCAGCCCGGGATAGGACAATTAACCACCGGGGCCGACCGCGCGGGTAGGCTCAGGAGCCCCGGGGCCGCGGAGAGCAGCTCGCCGATCTGCCTCCATGCTCTGCCGGGGAGCCGCGGCCGGACCCCTAGGGACACCCACTCGGGCGCGGGTGGCATCCTGCCCTCCCCAATGCCCGCCTGGGGTCTCAGGGGCCGCGGGCCTCCCGTGGGCTCCCGGGGGGCCGCCACGTCACGGAGGGTGTGCCCCCAGGCTGAGCGGCGGGCGGGGGAGGAGCCACGGGCTCTCCAGCCACGCCGCGCTCGGCCCCGGTCCTATCCCTCCCCACACCGCGCCCCGCGGCCAGCCGCGCCGCCCCTCACCTTCCTTCCCGGCTGTTCAGGCTCCGACGCTCCACACGGGCCACCCGCCTAGGAGCCCACAAGGCCGCGGGCCTCGCACGATGACTAGAACGCCTGTCTCTTTAAATACGGGTCCTTGAACCAGAGGCAGCGCGCAGGCGCAGTAGCCGAGCCGGACCTGCGCCCTCGGACCCCGCCCCCTCCGGCCGCCACGTGTGTCTCTGTTCCGTTCCGCCCTGGAGGGTTTGAACTGAGGCGTTGTGGGGTTCGTTGGCGGCGGTGGTGGGGCGCAGCGCACCTGAAGTTCCTAGAATGTCTCAGATTCTTAGATAGTAAAGATAGTAAATGAAAACATTATTGCGGTGAGCCCAGGAAGGAAAGAGCCAGTGTTTCCACCGTTATTTTCTCTTCCTGCCCACATGAGTTTTGCTGAATTCAAAAGAGGCTTCTTCAATTTAAAAAGGAAGTTGGGAACTGTGAAGGAACGACAGGGACAGTGGCCCCGATTATATGTCATTTAGTGTACTACTGCTTCTAAACCTCAGGTTGGCTTTGTGAGTTTGAGACGGCTAATTTTACAAAACTAAAAGTATCCAGGGCAGAACGTAAGTCGTAAGTGACGTTGTTCAGACTGGAAACGGCAAACAATTGGGCTTTGTTAGGGAAATAAAGAGCAGATGCTGGAGCGAAGTTCTATTTTGTGTGGAAGAGTTTGGCCTTTATTTTGTAGGGAAAGAATGTTGTGAACGAAGAGCCTAGTAGCTAATGTTGAAACTGGTCACGGGAGATGCTAAGGCAAGCGAACCCAGTATATCAAAGTGGCCTTGGGATGGAGAGGAAGGTACGTGTTTGAAATAATTTATGTTCTAACATTACCTGTGTATAATGTGCTCAGTATGTTGATAAGACATGAATGACCAGAGTGAGCTGATAGACTATAAGGTCATTTACCGAGCTGGAGAATGAACGCTGAGCGAGGCTCTTTGGACCGAGCCCAGCCAGATCCCTGTTTGAAATGAGGCACAGGCTCTTTGTCTTCTCTTAACTTGTGGCAGGATAAACCTGGATTTGAGAATCAGAAGGACCTAGGAAATTCAAGGCCTCCAATGAGGAAAAACCAACCTTTTCACTGGAGAATCTTAACTGTACTCGACGTTTCCCTAGCCCTGTGCTGTCCAACCCTTTATCACTAGCGCATATGTGGTTGCTGAGGGCTAGACATGTGACCAGTCTGAACCGAGAGGTGCTCTGAGTGAACACTGCTGAAATATATCTGCTGAAATAATGTTTGATACGTTGAGTTAAATAAAATATATCTTTGTGTCATTCACCTGTTCAATTTTACTTGTTTGAAAATGTGACATCAGAAAACAGGAGGCTGCGTGCTTGACTCCCACTGCCATCCACAGTACAGCGCGCCACAGATTTACAGCTTACAGTGCAGTACAGTGGATCTCTGTATCCCTGTACCCCGTGTCTTGAGAGGCTCTCACTATAGATCCCAGGCTGTCTGAAATTCTATCTGAAGCCAGTGTTAGTCTGAAACTTCTGATCTTCTTGCTTCCCTCTGCCTCCAAAGTGCTTTATGCGTCTTTTTTATCCTCAATGCCTAGAAAAGTTGTCTGCACATAATAGGCACCCAGCATATACTCTTTTGTTTGTTTTTGAGACAGGGTTTCTCTGTGTGGTTTTGACTGTCCTGGAATTCACTCTCTAGACCAGGCTGGCCTCGAATTTCCAGAGATCCACCTGCCTCTGCCTCCCAAGTGCTGGGATTAAAGGCTTACACCACCATCGCCCGGCCCCAGCATATACTTCTAAAAGAATGAAATTCTTGGGCCAGAGAGAGGGCTCAGTGGTTGAGAGCACTGACTGTTCTTCCACAGGACCCGTCAGTTCCCAGCACCCAAATGCAGCTCACAACTGTCTGTAACTCTAGTTCCAGAGGATCTGACACCGTCACACAGACATACATGCAGGTAAAACACCAATGCAATGAAATTCATGAGCTATATCCATTCATTATCAATGGATAATTTTCAAGATCCTTATAAGGAAGTTCATTATGTCTTTGACAATGTTTGGTTTGCTTGATTAGAAGTACATGGCACCCATAATGATCTCTGACTAGCCCCCCCCATGAAACATAACTAGAATGAAAGTTAGCAATTGTTTCCCCCTGCCCCCCTTGGTAAGAACACTGAAGTTTCATTTAGCACAAATCTCAATGCAGTGACTTTTATTTTTCCATTTTTGGGGGGTGAGCAGTCTCAGTGTGTGGCTGTAGGTCTGTCCCCAATGTATCATCTCCCTACCTCAGCCTGTAGTCTGGGAATTCAGCGGTGTGTCCTCATGCTAAGCTCGTGTTTCTTTATAAAGGTTAGGCCTGATCTGTCAAGGAGAGAAAAAGTTTGGTGAGGAAATAGGGCTTTGGAATAGCACAGTTAGGTTTGAATTATGTTCTGTCCTGAGCTGTGTAGCCTTCATTTAGTTCCCCTGGTGAAATGGGAGAAGTTCTGCACAATACATTTAGGTCTGTGATCCACCGAACTGCTTTCTACTAAGAGTGTTAGGGGCTGTTATTCGTGTCCTCTCTGCCCCTTCCTTTCTTCGCAAGTGGATGTCTAGGTTATTCAAGCACCAATGCTTGAAAGATTTTATTACTTTTGCTCCTTTAAAAAAAATGAATCTTTTTAAGCCGGGAATGGTGGCACATGCCTTTCATTGAGAGGCGGAAGCAGGTAGATCTTTGAGTTGAGGTTGGTGTACAAAGTAATGCATTCCATCATGATGCAATTATACTCTGTTCTCCTGTTACCCTCCCCACTGCTCTTCTTGTGCCCTCTCCACCTCCAGCTGGATCCCTTCTGCCATCGGTTTCCCCTTCTGCTTTCCTATTACAGGTACTCCATTGCCGTATTTCCTGGCACCATTAAGATCTCTTCCTCCCCCTCCTGATCCCTTCTCTAATTTCATGACCTACAAACACACATACATGAATAATTTTTTGAAATTAGGTTTCACATGTGGGAGAAAAGTATAGTATTTGTCTTTGTTTTTTTTTTTTTTTTCTTTTTTGCTCCTATTCAGAGACTATTTGTGTGAAGCTCTACTTCTGGGCTCTGTATTCCTGTCATTGGTGTATTTCTTTTATTAATATTGCCGTGTTGGTTACTGTAGCTTTAGAGTGAGCCTTGACATCAGCTGGTGTAGGTCCTCTAAGCTGTGTTCTTTTCCATTAGTAGTTAGGTTGACTATTGGAGGTCTTTCGTCTTTTTACGTGAATATTGGAATCACCTAAATCTAATAGCCACAAAGTGACTTGCTGAGATTTTTGACTGAGATTGAACTAATTAGAGATAAAGCTGGGAGAAACTGACATTTTGATAGGTTTGAGTCTTCCTGTCCATGAGCATAAAATTTTCTCCTTTTTATTTATTATTTGTATAACTATATGTGTGTGTGGATGCTCACTCATGAATGTGCATACGGAGGCCAGAGGCTGACATTAGCATGTCTTCCTTAAGTGATTTTCTTCCTTAAAAAAAAAAAAAATAGGGCCGGGCGGTGTTGGCACACACCTTTAATCCCAGCATTCGGGAGGCAGAGGCAGGCGGATCTCTGTGAGTTCGAGACCAGCCTGGTCTACAAGAGCTAGTTCCAGGACAGGCTCCAAAACCACAGAGAAACCCTGTCTTGAAAAACCAAAAAAAAAAAAG